TCCCTACAGTCACAGTCACATATTGTAAGATATGATAAGCTCTGAGAGCTCTACCTTAAAACTAGTCCACTTGCTTTCTTTAGCTTGGTCAAACAAAGAGAAATAAGCACATTAGGAGTAAATGTGTGATGTGAATCTTATTTGAACAACTGCACATTGAACAAATGTTACATTTTGTTCCACATGACAAATTTTGTTAACTAATGGAAGCAGGCCAAAAGGTAAATTAACCCTATAATGCCAAATGTATCATTTTTGATACATACGGTTTCTGAAGTCTTTTGGATCTGAGATTTATTGCATCATTCAATGGTAAAAGCTTTGCTCAAACCCCTGTTGTACACATTCAGATATACCTGATAACAGCAGGTAGAAGACTACACAAAAATATATATTTAACTTATTGCACGCTAATGTGATCAAAATGATTTCTGTTTTTTTTTCTTCATATGTTGTTGAGGGGCCAAAGAAAGACTTCAGACTAAAAAAAGCCAATATTCTTCCTATTTTTCTTGGATCAGGCTTTAAAGGGTTAACCTGTTCTGGCTTTGACAGATTCAAGATGGTGCCAGCGTGTTACTGAGAGGCTAAAAACATTCAGACCTGCTGCAGTGAGAACCAAATAATTCTATGATAAACGTCCTGACGATTTCAAATCAAAAACAGAAATACACATACAGATGTACAGACATTTACAGATTAAAATGATTTACTTCTATATTTAAAAAATCTAATCAAAAACACATTTACATACATAATACAAAATTGGTCATGTTGATTTTTTTATGGAGACCCTGTTGTCATGTGGCTGAGTAAGAAAACCTGCTCAGACTTGGTTAGTTCTGCAGTAACTGTTGCTATGGCAACAGAGACAGATGTGGAGAAACTTCTTTTTGTGAAACGGAAAACTCAGAGTTTCGTCATTTCAGAGTTAACAAACTCAGAGTTTCATAAAATGTTTGGTCCTGCTGACAGAGCAGCTGCTGTTCAGCACCGTACAGAACATCTGCTATTTCAGGAGCTGGGGACTTTTATTAAACAGACATTTAATGTAGATATCTGTTTACAACAGCTTATTTTAACCAGTTAAACATATTAAATGAACAAAAACGGATCATTTACGTTCATATTCTGCTTCGCCTGAGAGGAAAACGTCGCCTCCGTCCAGTTCATGAGCGTTAGAATGTGGAAACCAGTCCTACCTGTACAGGTGTGTCTGTGTGGATCATGTGACAGCAGAACAACACGCCAGCAGCCTGCAGACTAAGGGAATGACTCATTCACTCTCAGTTATTAAAGCTGAAAACAAAAAGCTGCTGCCTGTTTGGATTTGTCTAAAAATACTCATTTTAACATAGTATGCTATCACATGATCTATGTAGATTACTGATTGTTTTATT